TTGACAGAGTTCAGGGGCGCGGCCAAGAGGAGGACAAGAGGAGGACAACAAGGACAAGAGGAGGACAAGGCGTGGACACAGAGCCCAGCCACACAGCCCAGCCACAGAGTTGACAGAGTTCAGGGGCGCGGCCAAGAGGAGGACAAGGGGAGGACAAGGCCCAGCCACAGAGCCCAGCCACAGAGTTGACAGAGTTCAGGGGCGCGGCCAGTGAGTGTGGCCAGCTCTTTTCTTTCTAAGATAGAACCCCAACAGTAAACTGTTTGGGGAAAAATACAAAACAGCTAACTCACCAGACACACTTTGTCTAAAGCCCACTCGGCCCTCTGCCATCCTAATGCTTAATTAAGTAGCGCCTACTTGCTTAAGAAGTAGGATAAACTTGTTCGCTACTAGTATCAGGACGTAGGATAGCTCACGCTTCTTCAAGGAAGCTACCCGGAGCTCCCTTGAAGAAGCGCGCACTAATCGTTTAGTTCCTAGATGTCTAGGGAAACTTAACCGTACCACTGTCACCATCAAAAGAGTCTCCACCTCACATGCGTCATATCCCTTCATTTCTCAGTGGCCTTGAGCTCTCCTCCCGCAACTCCGCTAATGCTTCGAAAGCTGGAAGCATCTCTGAGGGTGTTAGCAGGGTGGCCTGAAGCAAGAGAATGCTAAGAAAATCCAAGATGGAATTGTCAGACTGGTGGAGGGTGGAGAGTGAGAAGTAAATAACATCAGGTTGGTGAGAGCACCACAGTCTTTGTTCCGGCAAAAAGCTGTGGGTCAACATTGCTTCCCTCCAAGAGCATTGGCCAATCCATCCCCATCCACCAATTACACTTCAATATATTGAAGAAGCAAAAAAGTGAGCTGAGCTAATATTCCAATCAATTGATAGTGGGTCAATCTTTTAGATGACCAGTGGAAAAGGGTAGGAAGCAGGGAAGGAGGGAAGGAGGGAAGCCCCTGCACAAGCCCTCACCTCCAATGCATCATACTAACAGTAAACAAGAAAGGATTGGCAAAAAAGACGAACCACTGTTGCCTCTTTGGTATCCAGCGCCACTGCCGCGGTCTCCAGCACTGTCTCCACTCGCTTACCTTATGCTTTGGCAGGCAGCGTTGCATTTTCGGCCAGAAAGACAAAAGCGGATGGTTACCCTGTCAGCTCTACTAGTACATAAGAGTCGATGTGGAAAAGCGACCCGCAAAGCGTGCCTGTGAACGCTTCTTTGGCGTTCTTCATTGAGGCTAGCAACACAAGAGCGTGCCTGGAAGGAAGGCACAGAAGAATCACTCTACCAACTCTACCCATACCAAACCTCAGGATCTTTCCTTCTGTTGAAAGGATTTCTGTCTCACTGTCTTTTGCATGGTCTGTTGATGTGTAGGCACACATAACGATATGAAAGGACTAGCCAGGGACTCCAGTGCCCAGTGCTCATTGAAGAACTAAAGGCATCTCACAGAATTTTAGAGCATCGCTTTGAGGCCCGACCTGGGTCTCAAAGCACCGCGGCGCAACAGATCGTTTATCACCAATGGCAGCCAAGTCCTGCAGCTGTGTCGCTTAGCGGCACAATCCTCGTCCTTCGACGACTCCGTCTGTCATAGCAAAAAATAACAAAATATCTATCTGTGTTGACTGAATTGTGAGCTCTTGTGTTGGGAAAGAAATCTGAGCTCAATGTTACTCTCAGTTACCCTCAACATCAATACCATGGCCAAACAAAGGAATTCTTGATCCCTGGACCCTCCACCCTGCCAAGCCCTCCTGTGCACCGTGACAGGTGAGTCCGAATTATTGAACCTCATGCTCTCACGCGCAAGAAGTCAATACCACGACATGTGGATAGATCATCATAGCCTTAGTGCTAACAATAGCTAACGACTGTCACAAGTTCTTGCCTCCTTGACTTCTCCTCCAACTCACACATGCAGCTCAAGATAGATACCAGGCTGGCAACGGAGAAGTTCGAGACCAAGCCCTGCAAGGCATAACTCTGCGACAGTGACTCGGTGTCTGTTTCACAAACATAGCAAAGTCTAAAATGCCTTTGCTCCAGTCCTCTTTCCCGACAAAACATTCTGTAAGCATTCCGGCGGTCTCGCTGTCTGTAGTACTCGCCACACGGGCAACCACTGCGAGATTCATGCCAAGGCTGGCAAAACGGTCTGAACGGTCTGACAGCTGCAAAAGCTGCAAATCATCCTTAGACACAGCACTTGGTCACATTTCAGCAGTCTTTCCCTATGCCCCCCTGGCATATGAGTACTCTCTCTCAATGATTCCAGACTGTAGTCACTACAGCTTATTCCCTCGGGCTGCATCTGCAACATTTCAGAACTTTGTGTGTGTGTGTGTGTCTTTCCAACGGAGGAGCGCATGTAATCCAGCGTTTTTGGAGAGGACTTCATAGTCCCACTCAATTCCACTTACTCCCACCTGCCTCAACCTGTCTTCAAAGCTTTTGATTTACATTGTATGACTAATTTCTTGGCAGATGAAGATTGGACTGGCAGCCTGGCAGCAGGACAAGCAACTTTCACTGAACTAGAAGCAAAGGAAAGAAGCTGTCCTCCAGGATGGGCTACTTTTCCAAAAGTATATGAGAAAGCCTCGATGCTTCTTTCGCAGTACCCTGGCACATATTAAAACTACAGTCTTTGGCCCTGATGCTCCAAACAGAGCCAAGCTTCTTGAAGCTTGGCCACAGTCGAAGTCACATCTTCGTATTCTATTTCAGAACCAGCTTTGGATTCAACCGCTGCTTCCTCACGGAATTGGATGAAAGTAGGTAAGGAAAACATTGTTAGATTGAAATACTTTATAAAATGTTTGAAGCGCTTGAAAGTGATCAAGCTCAATCTAGTGGCGATCAATCAATGGGTGAAGTTCTTCCACTCACTGACGCATTTGCCTCCTGTTCGAGGAAGATATAAAAACAAAAGCATCTGGCCTGAAGTCTTTGTCCCATGTTCATCTTCCAAGGCCAGTGGCGACCTGGCAACCCGAAGAATCACCACGCAAACAAAGTTACAAAAGGCAGGGCAGTGCCACCCGCGGAGATTCCACTGAGGTGCACTTCCGCTTTTGAAAGGTAGGGCCAAGGGCTCTCTAAGTCAGCAAGCAGCTCGAAAGCGTCCTCCCGCACATTCGTCAAGGAACCATGTCAATAACGTCACTTTAAACGTGACAAAGCTTCTGTGCCTTGGATTCTTCTTTTGGTTCTCCGTCCTCCAAATTATGCAGAAGTTTCTCTCAGCCACAAAAGCCTGCACACCTAGATGCTGTTGCAAGAAAGAAACCCATTGAAGTCCTCATCGGGCCTTAGCTTCTTTTCTTTTTCTCCATCTTGATCATCTTCTCCATCTTGCCTTGATCTCGCAATGAAGCAGATCCTAGTGAGTGAGCTGAGCTAGCGACGCCTCAAGCTGTTATCAGGGTTGCTTGTCTGAGATCAACTAAACAGTGAAACAGCACTGGGCCAGTACTTGAAAAAGCTAGAATAAGACAGAGATTCCGAATCCACTGAGCTGTTTCGTGCTTTTAAGAGGCATAGATGAAGATCCAGCTTCCACGCTGAGTCTCCTGAAGCCATAATTCCAGTCTCTGAGTTCTTCTTCGAGGTGTCGATCAACAAACCAGCTTCTACAAATGTCAGTTGCACCAAATGTTCACTTGGGACTAGATCAAAAACTGAACCTGATGCATTTTCACTGCAAGATTTGATCGTCATCGCCCTGAGTCTGAAGCTTCACGTCCGTGCTCAGAGTCTCCTTCTTCCCAGAACCCTCAAAGCGTGAGAATTTGTCTGCAGCAACCTGAGCGGATGTCCCTTCTCACGTATCAGCCGTCTGCAAGGTGGGTTTAAAGGGTGTAGCAACATAGCAGACAAACTTGAGAGCTGCACCTAGAAGATCTCCGTGCTGCCGGATGCCAGGAAGACATGGCAACTTCTGCACAAGAGAAAACTTGACAAATCACCTGAGTTGTGACGGTGCTTTCGATATTTTTCGATCAGTTGAAGTGACCTGATCTTCCTCATTTGTTCCAATTCCGAGCCAATGGCTTCAAGAGCACGCGAGGTGCTATCAGTGATTTCCGTGACGTTTCGCATCGCTTCACCCTTCCAGAAACCGCATCTGCGTAGTATCTGCTGGGTCTATCTTATTCCCAAAAAAACAGTGGATGATGATGGTTCAGTTGCAGGCTTTGCAAAAAAAATAAAAAGAATTGTTTACTGACTGTTACAGGTAATAGGACAGACCCAAGGTATCTGCGTAGTATCTGCAAGACTGGATTGTGCCTTCGCAGTTTGAGTTGAATCTCTTCGATGCTGGAGGCTTTGCCGATCTGCATCACAAAGCTGACAAGCTGACAAAAGCTATTCTTCGCCATCAGGAAACCATACAGTCAAACAAGACTTTACTCTGGCGAACATCAGCAAGAAGCGTTTGGGTTCACGAGTCCAACACTCATCTCCACCAACTACCCACTGTAAGTATATAAGTAAAAATATATAGATCTATGAATTCATATATATATATATGTGCACTGTTACTTACGCACCTTTTCTTGTTACTCAAAAGGGCTGCGACAAGTCTCAGTCAGCAACTAAGCACGCAATCTGTAATGCACATGATGCAATGTACATAGGCTATGATTCACCTAGAAAATGGTTCGCATTCCTTCTTGGCGATGTGAGACCCTAAAATGCCTCTTTGGGCTCACTTTGCCACCCTAGTCCATTTTCTCTCATTCACTTCTACCTCTCTCTGTGAGTTCTCTGTTCTCTCAGGAACTGGGTTCCTAGAGTGTACTTCTGCTGGGTTGGTACCTGGATGGTCTCTTCTGTATTCTGTTTTTTTCCAATAGTTCTTTGTCCCTCTTCAGTTCTTCCTCAACCCCAAATGCAGCATTTTGGTTTCCTGCTCCTAGTAGGTTCCAATGTTGCGCGCTCAACTCTTCCAATTTAGTCTACCACACATCTGTACTGACATCATTCTCACGTAGGTATCTCTCTTTCCCATTGAGAATGACCTGTTCAATGGTCCTCCTCATGGGTTTGCTCCTTCGTTTGCTGCTTCTAATGTCACTCTGTGTCCTTCATACCATCCTCCTGTAGCTTGCATAGCTTCCAAACTCCTTCTTCCTAAGAAGTTTCCTGCGTTGATCTCATTCCAGGTCATAGCTAAGAATAGCCTGGCGACTTTGATCTCCAATCAGTGTACTGCCAAGTGTCAGTGTAGCGTCTTTCTGTGCGACCCCATACCTCATAATAGCGGTCTTCAACTCGCCTGTAGGGCTTCCATAATGCAGAGATTACTGGCGCAAAGAAAATGATCTTGGTTTCAATGATCACTATGATCCAAAATGTCCAATTGTCATTGGATTCCTTCATCTCTTCCAATCTCATATCTTCCAACCCACACTGGATATATATGTTATATTGTCTCCTTCTTTCAAGAATACTTCTCTAACCATTGGCTGCAAGCCCTCCAATGCTACCATTCTTACTTGCAATCTTGTCGACCTTTCCTGCAACATTCGTCTTTTCTTCAAACTCTCTTCTCTCGTATTCTCCTACTCTCACTTGGCCTTCGCTGTGCCAGTAACGAATGAGGTCCATCAAGCATCTGATTCTTTGTCCTCCGAGTGGCTTTGCGTTGAGGTCTGCCATGTCGCTATTTGTTGGCACTTGTACTATCTTGAAATCTTTCCTGTTCTGAACCCATAGCAACCTTCTATCTAAATGCCTCACTTTTCCAACTCCTTTCTTTGTCACAAGTTGGCGCGCACTTGATGAATCTGTGAAGATGTAATGGTCCACCTTTGTCCCAAGAGCAAATTCCAGAACTGCTCTGATATAGATTCCATCTGATGCTGAAGAAACTATTGCATGTAGTTACTGTAGTTCTGCTTCACACGACGATAAGCTAATGATCTTCTGTGTTATGCTGCTGTTGAACAATGGACAACTACTCAATGCATGGAATCCTCCTGATGTTGACTTTCTGTGGCTTTTGTTTCCACTCCAGTCTGAATCTGAAAGTTTCTCCAAGCACAAACAGCTTTCTTTGCATAAACTTCCCCTGCTTGTGGAACTTCTTCAAGTGATGAAATGACATAGCTGTAGGATTTGACATTCTTGAAGCCATCAAACCTCTCTTGACATAGACAGATACCTGGTCCAACAATGCTTCTGAAAAGACTAGTCTTTGTGATTCATGCAATCACGTAGCCCTCATCAACTGCGCTGAAATACTTCTCAAAGACCCATGACCACTCTCTAAGTGCCTTGACCTTCATCCTGCGACTTGTACTCAAAGATGTTGGGCTTTGCTATCAGTTTTGACCAATCATCTGTTGTTGATGACCTCTTGTCCTCAACTGCTTTCCTCACTGCCTCAGCTACTGATGTTGTTGCAAGTGTACTCTGTGCTATTGCTTGAAGGATATCTCTGACTTCATCCATCTTTTCCTTGTACCTGTGTCTCCTCGACACAATGTACTGGGTACAGAGTGTTGCTCACAACAATTATTCACCAGTTCAGCTGCTTGGGTCCCAAAGGCCCCAAATCGATGGCTCGAACTCGCACCCGGGATCCCAGTGACCTAGGGCCTAGGGGCGTTTCAATCAGAGCTCCAGAGGGGTTACCTCCTTCTCAGCTCCGCTACCATACGCACCTTTTCTTGATGCTCAAAAGGGCTGCGACAAGTCTCAGTCATCAAGTAAGGATGCAATCTGTAATGCACATGATGCAATGTACATAGGCTATGATTCACCCAGAAAATGGTGAGCGATTATATTTATACATATATATTATATATATATATATTCTTTGAGGATGCAAGGGTGTGCTAATCAAACAACATCCTACATAATAAGCGTCTTGGCCAGCTTGAGGTGTGCAAGATTTACTGTTCTCGCTACTGGCTACCAGCCAAAGTTGAAGCTATGAAATACGGGCCATTAATTGAGTGAACTCTCCCAACCTGGCCTGCAACCCTGCTCCCAAGTGCTCACAGACTGTCCAAGTCCACTCGAACTGATCCATGTAGAAAGGGCCTTTTGACACGTCAGATAGTCACGTCTGACAGCGACCTACCTTTCCTGCAGCTATTACGATGTTGGGCCAAAAGCTTGACTGCAATCTGAGAATGCCACAGCAAAGCATAGGAACACTACAAACCAACGATTCCTTGGGACCGAGAGAAATGCAAATAGCGCAGTGCACGGACGCATGAACAAATCCTGCTGTCTACAATCGTAGCCTTTAAAGCCAAGTCTCAGTGGTACTATTCGCGCCCATGTGACTCAGAAAGCATCTGATCCTTCAGTGAAGCCGTGCGAAGCTTGATTAGTTGCACGAGGAGTCAACTCAAGTGTATCTTCAAGCTGCTTGCAGTTTTCGCGCCTCTCACATTTCAGAACATCTGCCTCAAAAAGCAGAAACAATTAATGCCACATACGTCAAACAAGCAAACGGAACACATGGTCCAAAAAACTTCACATCTTGGCAGTCAATACACCAGTGACCCGCATGGCGCCAGTGACCCAACACGTTCAAGAACACTTACAATCACAGACCTCCAGCCATGACGTTCAAAGGATTGTCAAACGAAACTTGGGCGTGAAGAAAGATGGGATAGGTCGGGAGTCTTACCCACAAAGCGTTGGAAATTCTAGTCATCCCACATTAATGGAAACTTCTATGCAAATGCGCAGCCAAACTGGAAAAAAAACACACCAAACATGTGATTGCTGTCAGATTGAAGTCGCTGAGTTTGATGTGTTTGGAATCCCAGATCTTGCCTGGGGCACAAAGGCTTCCACCCGCCAGCGGCGTGCATTGGGCCTGTCTGTTGGAAGAAAACTCTGAATCTCCTGAGGCAAAACCTGAGAGCGAAGCTGTACCAAACACAAGCACGGCAGAGTCTGGGTTTTCTGTAACTGTACCCAGTCAAAATCCAAACTTGGAGACCTGGATGTCTCATGAGATTAAGCCAAGAAGCCCAAAGAACCCTCCAACTATCGCCATCTAGCGCTTTGGCCAGCTTCTCTATCATCTCCTTTCACGCTCAATCTCGAAGACAAGCGTCCTAGGAACAAGTGCATCGCTACTAGGGGCTCCTGGCCGTACTACTAGGAACAAGTAGCTACTAGGAACAAGAAGCTACTAGGATGTTTTTCCATTGCCGTGTCGAAGTGATCTGAAGCTGTTCTCCTTGCTCGGTCGCACTATGCTTCCGAAGGCAACATAAACTATAGGAGAAGTATGTTCTTTGCCTTGGGCGACAGCAAAGGATATGGCAAAAAAAATGCGGCAGGCTACTGTTGTGCATACAGTTCATTTGGTCAAAACCTTTTCATGTGCTGCATTGCACTTCAGACCGGAATTGTGCCACACGTTCTTGACTCTAAGACCCTAAAATAGTAAACCTGAAGTTTGTATTACATGCTCTCGAGGCTCTTTGGTGTGAGCAGTATGCTCCTGCAAGTACAAATGGCTAATTGGCTAGAGCTCCAAACTTTTGTAAACACCAAGTCCCCCTGGCAAAAGGGTAAGCAGACCAAACGCACCTGGCCATATTGGCCTCATTCCCACGATCCACTTCTTGCTTCTCAACTTCACCTGACCGTTCGCTGCTTGCTTCCATTCATGTTTAGCTGCTTCGCGTCGGTCAAGTGACCGCCAAATGCTCTCAGGGATCGCAGCTGCTCTAGACTGAAAGCGCCTTCGAGAGCCCACCAAAAAAGGTCAGTCCTTGGACGATCTGCTCTTTGACATGTCCAGGAAGCCTGAGCCAAAACTGTACCGCCCACGCTTCCTGGGCATAGATTTCCATGGCCTGCCTTCGTCCGAGTGAGCTCGGAGTTCTGACTGGTCAGAAGCAGCCATGAAGCCCCGCCAGCCCTCAAGCTTCCCAAATCAATTCCACGTGAGTGCTCCAGGATCTTCAGCAGCTGTGGCTGATCCAGGCGGGCGGCTTGAGGAAGGCATCGGGATTGGTCGTTGGATGACTTCTTCAAAGCATAGATCGAAGACTTTGTCATTGAGGGCAAGGACGGTGGGAGGAAAAGACGGTGGCAGTGCTCCTGGGCATTTTGTGGACAAGCATGTGGTTGCCAAGATCCAGGTCCGAACGCTGGGCAGGGATTCCAGAGCCACCCCACAAGGACAAGAGAGAGATGCCTGTTGTAACGCCTGCCATGCAGATCAAAAGGAAAGGCAGCCTGCTGCCCCAGTGGGCAGAGCGCACCAAACCAAACACCCTAGACTGCTTCCCCACGCAGCGAAACTCTAAAATCCACACAAACGACTTGCATGTACACCTGCTCCTTGAGAAAAGAATGGTTGCTAGTCGTCCAAGGCAGCCCAAGGCAGTGGTCATACTATATACATACATGTTTCAACTGGCGCCAACTGAGACATGTGAAGTCCAACTTTGAGCTGCATGTGACCCCTTTTCGCCTAAAACTTAGGATCCCCTTTTACTTTACACACAAGCAAAGCAACCAAGAAGCTTCAGCCCGCCACAACCATTCGCCACAAATCGCAACCTAGGCACAGAACAGCCACTCCAAGAGATCCTTTTCAATGGGTGCCACTGTGGCCTGCAGGACACGTCTATATGAAAGTCTGTTGAGGTATGTATCTCCGCTGTACAGCCCCCAAACCATATTAAGTATTAGGTTGAGGCCATCGCTAGTAGGCTGAAGACCATTGCTATTAGGTTGGAGGCCATCGCTAGTAAGTTGGAGGCCATGGCTAGTAGGTTGGAGTTGGAGGCCATCCCTATTAGGTTGGAGTGATGCTTTAACGCTGCTGATACCTGGCCTCAAAGCTCTCGCGGTCTCTTTGCAGCCGGCCACCCTCCTGGTCAGAAAGCATCCCCGTGACTGAGGATTTTCGACCTATTTGTTAGGGACCAAATAATCAAGCAGGAAGGGATTACTTGGTGTAGCAAAGCAAGACTGGAACCAAACTGCTGTATTCACATGTCCAGAGAGAAATCGTTTCTATTTGTGAGATGTGTGTGACAAATGATCAAAAAATATTTCGTTTCCATCTCGAGGCTTCGGTCCAGAGGCTTTGGGAGAGGTAGCAAAGGACTGCAGAAAAGGACCCGCTCCCTCAGCACTGCTGGTCTCTTTGCAAACCACTTGCTCAGCTACTTCTCAATCAAAAGCTGGGAGAGTTTGCAAAAAAATACAGCAAAGTCAATTGCATGTCGATTGACAAAGGATGTATAAGCGCCCAGGCTTCGACGTCTTTTGGCCGACAACACTCCTGCAAAGTCTCTGTTTATGTTCTACACAATCCCCTCTTGCTGAGCAACTTTGTGCCAAGCGAAAACGACAATTTGCAACATGCAAAAAACCTTTGCTGTCTGTTTTCTCTCCACAGAAACCTTACTGTAGTTGGGTCACGAAAACCAATCTGTGCCTCTCCTGGTGCTCGCATAGATCTCAGCAACATAGTTATCTGTCTTCAAGTTCTTCAAGATAGTACTGGCAACCTCACGAACCACCCACACTAAAATAAAGCTCATGCACGTCGGCACACCAACTGCCAGAACGAACAGCAGCTCTCATTGTACGAAGCCTCGCCTTGATGGGAACTTTCAGCTTCTTTGCCAACGGTGCTGTCATGAAACCCACCATCTCTGGTGGCAGGCTGCCAACCTCAAATCTGGTCCATGCAAACATTCAACGTGTACAATGTGAGTTGGCAACTAAACAAAGAGTCTGGTACCAATTAGCGCAAGCTGTCACAGTAACCAGGACATGCCGGGCCGAACAGAAGAAAAACAAGTGAGACTGTGAGATGCTAGGCGTGCAGCAGCAGCAGCAGCAGCAGCAGCAGCAGCAGCAGCAGCACATAACGTATTTCAGCAGAAAGGAATTCAAGTCCTAGACCTAGATCTATGCAACGATTCCATGAGGTTGTCGAATGAATCAACTTACCAAGAGTTGAGAAGTCAAACCGCATGAACATCTGCAGGAGCATATCCAGGCCCGTGAGCAACAAACCATTTTCGGAAGGTTCCAAAGCCGCTTTGCATTTGGATGTTTTTGTGGCTTTCTTTTTAGGAACGTGTTGTTGAATTCTCGCTTATCTTTTTAGCTTCGGGGGGGTAGGCCGCAAGAGTAGAGTAGGCTTAAGAAAGCCAAGTAGTAGCTACCAAGAAAGGACGCAAAAGGGCTCTGGCTTCATGCTTTGTTCCTAGTAGCGTCCTTGCTCCTGGTAGTAAGGCCAGGAGCCCCTAGTAGCGGCCTTGCTCCTACATTCTTGTTCCTAGTAGCGATGCCAGGAGCCCCTAGTAGCATTTTTGTTCCTAGGATATTCATTTCTAGATTTTCTTGGGAAACTTAATCTCTTGTCTAGCAGTCCAGCTTCTTGCATGTCTGTGGTCCTGAGGTGAGCACAGTGAGCATCAGCCCCATGAGAGTAAGCTCATTTGAATTCACCTGGAAACTCACATGAGCTCATACTCTTCTGTTGAAATGGTCACTGTAAAAGTGTTCTACAGTTCTACCTCATCGACTTGCGAAAAACAAAGGTTGTCCAAAGCTTCCTACAATCATGCATCACTACTGAACTGAAAGACTGCCAGAGCTCTGCACTTCCAAAATTGACTCTGCAATATGCGTTCAAACAAAGCAAGAATACTACAGTATACAATGACAAAAAAAAGAGGAAGCTCCGCAACAGCGGCCACCACCACCAGCATCACCACCACAACAACAGCAATGGTGAAGAAAGAACACTTTATACTTCCAGGTGGTCTTGGTTGCAAAACAGAGGCACACCAGGTGGCCTGTGGCATCTGACTTGGATCAACTTTCTGCTCCAAGGCTTTGATCACCTCCACGGACACCCCCATAGCCTGAAATCAAAACGATGAATAGAAGAGATCGGATGAAGAAGTGATATCAAATGAATGCCATCTGATCTGAAGAGATATGAATTCTTCACCAATTTGGCCACTACAGCAAGATTGCTTCATGACTCGACTAGAATCCATCCCAGCACCTTTGCATCAATCTCTCGTGGGATCTTCCTCCTTAATTGGTGGGAAGCCAATGGCACATTTGGAAGATCTCCAGAATACATCATCTCAAGAGATGAAAGGAGATTAAGACATTCAAACTCCACCGAAGATTGTGTCTTTCCACACGGGCTTGGAGTTAACTCAGCAGCAAGCTGAGTTTCAATAGATTCTCCCTCTTTCTCCATATTCTTCTCCATGTCCTGCTGGACCGGTTCATACATTGGAGGAGAATGAAAAAAGTGATGGCCCATCAAATTTTTTTTTATATAAAACGGTCTCGCAAGTGATCACAAGGAATACTGGAAAGGTCTTCAACCCTGCCTCTGGAATACCTGGCGAATGCACTGGCAGCAGCCGGATGTTTTCAGCTTCGCACCAAGCCGGCACCAGGTTCTGTGACAAGAGCCAATAGATTCAATGTGATTAGTTTCATATAATGAACAATAGTTGGAATAGTTAAACATGTCAGTAACAATGGGCATTGTTATCCTCTATGAAGCACAACACAGTACCCTGCAATCAAAAGGAGAAACGATTATGAAAACATACTTACGGCCCGAAAGCTCATCAAATGATCAATGGCACCCACAGCCTTCAGGAAGAAGAGGCAGGTTATATAGCATAAATGCAAGCAATGATTCATACTTGCTACCGCGCGGCATTCATTGTGCAAAAACCATCGCACACTACGACCTTTGAGGATTGAAAATAGAATAGAACAGCACGAGCTTGATTCTTTTGTGCGTGAACATGCAACAGCTTGCTTTGTCTGGATGAAGAATGCGCTGATCACAACTGAGAATGCTTTTCTGAACTCTCAAAAGAGCGGTACACAATCTTGAGGCATTGGCGTCTGGCTTGACGATACCTGTCCAAGTGGCACCAGGACAATCCAGACTACCAACACGTGCCTCTTGGAGAAGCTTATCCAGCAAATTATACCAGCGTAGACCCCAAACAGAGCAATGTTCAAAAATGAGATCTCCGAACAATATGGCCAGCAGTATTTCCTAGAGGAAGAAAACTATAGTCCACCATGTAGACGCACATACAAGATTCAAAGGGAAAGCATTAAAATTCTGTTTTTCATTGACTTTACTTTACAATGGGACGCCGTACAAGGGCTAAAACATGAAATTTATGGATCCAGGTTGTGACATATGTTGCCCCCCTTGTAAACACGAATGCGCAGACCCAATCAAAATGAAGATTTCCTCAGAGCACGGACACTGCGCTTGGCTTTTTCCTTCCTACGCAGTTGCCTTCTTTGGCTTAGCCATGTACTGCATTGACCTGTGTTTGCCATAGGTCGCAACACTTGACGTAAGAGTGTGTGATTGCTTCGTTGATCATCCGCACGAAAGTAGCTGCCAACCTAAACAGCAAATCGAGCAATGCAACGCGTGTGGTGAAAATATGTGAAAATAGTGTATTTCGATGCAGCCAATGCAGCTTTCAAACTCGAAACACCAGAAATACAACAGAGCAACGACCTTGTGCACATCAAAAAAATTAATCGGCCCAGCATCCAGCCAAGCCCGGGGATACAAAGCATCCAGACAGGCCATGGGAAACAAGTGGAAGACAAGTGAGCTTACTGGGATCCAAGTCGAGACATGTGGGAGACAAGTGTGAAATCATGCGGCCAGAGCACCCAGAGCATCCAGAGCTTACTGGGAGACAAGTGGGAGACAAGTGTGAAATCATGCGGCCAGAGCACTCAGAGCATCCAGAGCTTACTGGAGACAAGTGGGAAACAAATGGGAGACAAATGGCAGACAAGTGTGAAATCATGCGGCCAGAGCACTCAGAGCATCCAGCTTACTGGGACACAAGTGGGGGACAAATGGGAGACAAATGGAAGGCAAGTATGAAATCATGCGGCCAGACCACTGAGAGCATCCAGAGCTTACTGGGAGACAAGTGGGAGACAAATGGGAGACAAGCGTGAAATCATGCGGCCAGAGCACTGAGAGCATCCAGAGCTTACTGGGAGACAAGTGGGAGACAAGTGGGAGACAAATGGGAGACAAGTATAAAATCATGCGGCCAGCGCACTCAGAGCATCCAGCTTACTGGGAGACAAGTGGGAGACAAATGGGACACAAGTATAAAATCATGCGGCCAGAGCACTCCGAGCATCCAGAGCTTACTGGGAGACAAGTGGGAGACAAGTGTGAAATCATGCGGCCAGAGCACTCAGAGCACCGAGAGCTTACTCGGAGACAAGTGGGAGACAAGTGGGAGACAAATGGTAGACAAGTGTGAAATCATGCGGCCAAGCACTCAGAGCATCCAGAGCTTACAGGGAGACAAGTGGGAGACAAATGGGAGACAAGCCTGAAATCATGCGGCCAGAGCACTGAGAGCATCGAGAGCTTACTGGGAGACAACTGGGAGACAAGTGGGAGACAAATTATACCAGCGTAGACCCGAACAATATGGCCAGCAGTATTTCCTAGAGGAAGAAAACTATAGTCCACCATGTAGACGCACATACAAGATTCAAAGGGAAAGCATTAAAATTCTGTTTTTCATTGACTTACAATGGGACGCCGTACGAGGGCTAAAACATGAAATTTATGGATCCAATCAAAATGAAGATTTCCTCAGAGCACGGACACTGCGCTTGGCTTTTTCCTTCCTACGCAGTTGCCTTCTTTGGCTTGGCCATGTACTGCATTGACCTGTGTTTGCCATAGGTCGCAACACTTGA